CCACCCAGTTTGGTGTCATCTGCAAACTTACTGAGGGTGCACTCAATCCCCTCATCCAGATCATTGATAGAGATACTAAATAGAACTGGCCCCACTACTGAGCCCTGGGGAACACCGCTTGTGACCGGCTGCCAACTGGATTTAACTCCATTGACCACGACTCTCTGGGCTCGGCCATCCAGCCAGTTTTTAACCCAGCGAAGAGTACATCCATCTAGGCCATGAACTTCCAGCTTCTCTGGGAGAATGCTATGGGAGACTGTGTTGAAGGCTTTGCTGAAGTCCAGGTATACAACATCCACAGCCTTTCCCTCATCTACCAGGTGGGTCACCTGGTCGTAGAAGGAAATCAGGTTGGTTAGGCAAGACCTGCCTTTCATGAACCCATGCTGACTGGGCCTGATCCCCTGATTGTCCTCCATGTGCCTGGTGAGCACACTCAAGATGAACCTCTCCATAACCTTCCCCGGTAGTGAGGTCAGGCTGACTGGTCTGTAGTTCCTCTAATCCTGGCAAAAACAACAACAGGACGAGACAACTGGAAGAAACTTGGTGAAGGTAGAAAGAGATTGAGTAGCATTGGTCAGATTCCTGTTGTACAAAAAGTGAGCATGGCGGTGTATTTCATAGACTGGCATGTTGTAGACCTATTTTTTTCATATACAGTTAGCTTCTGAAATAATTTATCTTATTTGAGGCAAAATCATGACTTTTAATTGTGCAAAAATATTATAGTCAAAACCAAGAAATTAATCCAAACTCTAAAAAAAAATACAAGAAGAACTCATCAGGTGGTTTGTAGATCCGGATAAACTAAAACGTGCAAAATCCTAAATCTTATCAGTCAAAGAAAATCCTCTCCACAACAGATCTTTGTTATCAAAAGCTTTGATGAATGTGCACAAATTTACTTGCTCCTGGTGTCCATGCAACATATGATATTCCATACATCTCGAAAAGGGCTGTTTCATACACCCTGGGATAACAGGTAATATAGATTATCTGTAAAAGAGTTTAAAAAGAAACAGAAGTATGTTTCATTTTGTCTTGTTTGGGAATTAGGATGTATAAGATAGTGTCATTAATATATATCATATTATTAAATATATTCTTGCTTAGACGAAAGTGATTGATTTTAGAGCAAATTTGTTTGAAATGGGATGCAGAAGTATACCTCAGTATCAATTATACCTACTACAACTCTTTAATAATCTGAGAGTAAAACTTTCCAGCAACTGAAACCCAAACCACAGTTGAATTGCAAGTATTTTTCTCGGTTATGACAATATAAAGCAGCAACCACTAAAAAAGAATAACTTTTAAGAACAGTAGTTTACATATTGGTAGTGCTTTCATTAGGAAGTGTTGACACATACTGATCAAAGTGGCAGAGCAAACCACAGCCCTTCCGTTACTCATTTGAATTTTCTCCTAAATCTGCAAGGTACGTCTCTGCAGGACTCCTGTTTACCTGCCACCCTCCGCAGAAGTAAAATTTAAGTTAAAATAGAATATATATATATATATTTTTATAACAGAAAGTGAGAAACATACATATGCAAATATATTACTGGGGAGGCAATGACTTTCTCTTTTTTGAAGAACAGTTAATAAGCAGTTGTAATTTGCTTTCAAACTGTTTTAAGTAATGAAAAAAAGCTTCTGTCAACAGTCATAGAACAGGCAGTCCAATGGATTTTTTTGCTACCCTTGAACTTCAAAATTTTTGGCTCATGCGTTAATGAAGAGGGTTCCTGAAAATCCTAACTCAATCAATGCTGGGGAAAGCATGGAAATGTCATGTTGTAGGCAATGCTGCACAGTGTTCTGCTTTCATTTAATATTCAGTTCCATTTCTGGGCTATTAATAGTGTGAGAAGCTATAGTAACAATACAAGCAAGGCAAAACAAAAGCATCTCACCCACCACTGTAAAATGAAGCAGTAGTATTATATCTGTAATCCACAAAATGAGCATCAGTGCAGAACCTTTAAACTATGACATGAGGAAAGGCCAACAGCTTTAAGAAAGCTCACTATAAGTGAACCTGAGGTGAACATGGCAGTATTTTATGTCAAGAATTCAAAGGGAAGTTTAAGGCAACAACCCCCCTTGAATTTCAAAACACTCAAAAGCCCATGTCGTAATACAAACAAAAAGTCACCGTCCAAACCAGTTAGTTTTAATCACCTTTCTCTCCAAAAATAAAATTAATCTTTAATTCAATGATGCACTCGTTAGCCAGCAATCCCCTGTCCGTGTTTACATTCTGCATATTTGCATTAGCATGTACCAAAATATAGCGCTAACTATTAAAACAGCTGAAGCCCAGGCAACCAGTTGTATTCTGTTGTACCTACCAACCACAAGTCTCTACAAAGATAAATTTAATTTGTTCATGCAGTCATTTTTGAGGAGCAGCCTAGTCTTCTCTCCCTGCAGGTAATGATAACAACATTCACGAAACCACAAAACTTCCTGAAAAGCAGTATAGAAATGAATCCAAAGCTTAGTTATTGCTTCAGCTGACAAATATATTGAGATAAATACGTGTAAAATATTCCAAACCTGGAAAATCCATTTCACTATTAACACGTGTATGCAAAAAAGCTCCTCATCATCAACATGAGAGCCTCTGAGACGTGAAGCGGAGGGTGCTCCTTCGGCAGCTCCCTGGAAGGGATCAGCCCTGGGTCTCCGGGGCGGCAGGTCTATGAAGTCCCCTGTTTGCTTTTGAAAACAGCCCGTGCAATCAGCGGCACCGAGGCAGAATGAGGTCACGCTTCCTGTAAAGTAGCCTCACATCAGAAGCATTCATTTTTGAAGAGCAAACCGAGGATTAAGATTAGCCCAGTGAACGCTCTTGCAGGCTGTTGCGAAAGAGAAGACACACTGTAAACAATGTTTTACTCCAATTATGATATGGAGAACACAGACAGAACATTTTCTCATAAAGACAAGTGACACAGATTTTTGTTTCAGCTTTACTTTTCTACCTCGCAAAGAAAACTCTCAAGTGGTATATCCAAATCCCACCATTTGTTGAAATACTTGTGAGCCTGAGGGGCTTTGATGTAGGAAAATGATCCAGCTACCAAAAAAATCCGTGTATAGTAACAAGATATTTTGCAAAAGCACTATTATACAGGAGATGCCTTTGGTGAGAGTTCAGA